CAGCTAACTTATCTGATGAGGATGATGATGATAATGATTTTTTAATGACTCAGGATGATAGATGGATGATTGAGGTCATGAAATAGAGACAGATGATGACTAATCAAAGTGATTGTCTACTCAGCACTCAAATACTATCCTATCCCTAATTTCCTGTTTCCATTCCAACCAACCAAACACAACAGAGCCTATGCTGTGCACCAATCAGGCCTCTTCCTGGTCTCACACTCCAATCTGGCTCGGTTACAGGGCAGCGCTACCCACCCCAGCTCCGACCATCGTCGACCAGATTGTAGCCATTAGTCAAGTTTGCAGATCGCCTTCCTCCCTCGGCAATCCTAGACCGCTAAACAAAGCCTCAAGCTCCTACTCAAGCAGGTTACAGGGCATCGCCCCAGCGTCGGCCAGCGTTGTTCTGGCACCAACTCAACCTGGCCATTACACAAAAAAGGCTCAATTATGAAATTAGCTAAGCTTAGAATGTCAACTAGAAGTCAAGGACCTAATAATGCCAGAATCATGATAACAAACCTCTTTGATGATGGAATTAGATGAAATTGGATGAGTACCTTGAGATGATCACAAAAGAGATGGTTAATGATGAGGATGCTGATGGCTATTCCTCTCCACTCCTCCCCTTCCTCGATGTACTCTCCTCTTCCCTCGTTTCTTGTTCTCCTGTTATCCTCTCGCTGCCTCCGCTGATCTGAAACCCCGTCAGTATGAAGTTCCTATCAGCCCCAACGAGAGAGACCATCTCCCCATTCCCTTCTGCCTTGAGGTAACCAGTTCCCCCAAAAGGTGTACCTCAAAACTAACACTCTGACCTAGTCTGCCTCCGCCAGGAGATAATCCGCCCCCATACATATTTCCCAGCCCCAGCCCAGGTCAGCTCCCATCATCTGCGTCTACTCCCTAGAGGGCAATCACCTCCCACCTTGTGTTACCCCTGCAGAGTAGCGCTCCCTTCCTGATCGACCTACCTGCCAACTAGACCATAATCAATCTGGGCGAGGACAATATAACCACCAACTCAGAGATAACTACTGATTGAAGAAAACATAAAGAAACCATTATGATGATGATAATCATGATAAAGATTCAGATTGGTAGAAAATGATGATGATGATGATGATGATGATGATGAAAAATTGGTGAGAAATAATTAAGGAACGTTTGACTTGCGATACCCTAATGGCACCGGTGAGGACGATTGTCAGCACACTATTGCTGTAACTAAAATAGAGGATGGCAATGATTACGATTTGGACGAAGGAGTCTGAATGACGGACATGAAGAAGATGAGGAAGCAAAATGATGATGATGATGATTAACGTAAAAAAGGATGCGGGCGACGTGAATGACGAACAGAATATGTGTCACAAAAGATGAACGTGAATATATGTTGCAGAAGATAAATGTGGAAAGTTTACTAAAGATGATGCACATGAGGATGACATAATGGTACTCCACAACTGGCAATCTTGAATCTCCTGGTGTTCTTGATGAAAAACCTGCACGAAATACAAACAAGAATAAACAAAAACACAGATAAATTTGATGATGATCATCCAGCTTGACGGTATCCTCCCGCTCTGTGTTGAAGCTTTAAATAGGGCAAGCGATCGTGGGGCTGACTCCACTTTCGTCCACCGACGTCAGCATTCGCCAACTCACAAGAGCTCTCCAGCCTCTTAAGGGCATCAGCTGTGGAGTACTTAATGTAGAAGACACCGGGAAAATGTTCAAACAGCAGCCACCGCCACTGTTCTCCTTTCTTCTCTGTGCCTCAGGCCAGATGCCTCGTCAGCCTGTGACGTAGCACTGGCCAAGCGCCTCCGGATTCCGCGCGTGTGTAAAGCGCTGACCTCTCTCCAATCCACCTCACCACAGACCTGTGCACCAGCACCTCTCTCGAGCCGACAACTTGCGGTATGCCACGTGTCAGACACTATCTCTATACACTTGCCGAGCCAATGCCGCGCCAGCTGTAAGTGGCCAGTGCCCCGTCCCTCACATGCTGCCAGCGCTTCATTTCCCGCTAACAGCCAGCGCCTCGCTGCTCCATTGCAGCCAGTGCCTCGCTGCTCGTAAAAAGCCAGCGCCCCGCAGCCATGAGGCGCCAGCGCCCCGCCTCCCCCAACCAGCCAGCACCTCCCCCACTGCGTTCAGCATAGCGCTGTCCGCACGCCGCGATCGCCTCGCTGCCCGCCCGCCGCTCAGCGCTAACGCACGCCCTCCAAGGCCTCAAGCCTGTTGTCCGTAGTCCTATTCCGTTAGGTTATCTTATACTCTCCGTTAAGTGCCCTTAGGTTACCTATCTGACTGTATCTATTTATTATCTGTCTGTCTATGTTTGTCTTTATGGATCAGTCAGGATGTTTGGAGAGTATTGATTGACACGTGCAATTGGCATCTCGTGAAAAGAAGGCCATTCAGCAAGGAGAGAGTGCTCTGCCAGTGTGACACGTGGCGTGTGGCGAAGAAAATCTCTATCGAAATATAAGGGGGGTAGGGAAAGGCGGGGCGGGGGGAACAAAATGAGAAATTGGAGTCAAAACGAATGAAGGTAGTAGACCGAGGAGGAGAGGGAGAGGAGGAGGAGGAGGAGGAGGTGGAGGAGGAGGAGGAGGAGGAGGTGGTGGTGGTGGTGGTGGTGGTGGTTTCGGTGCTCTATGCGTTGCAGAAGCTTCTTGGTAAGAGTTTCCATGCATTCATTAGCAAAGCGTTGGCTGCTTCTGTAGAAAACAGCCACCATGAATCCTCTCACACAAGTGAAGAACACTCAGAAGGCAACACAGAGGGAGGTGGATGCAGGCATCCAGGATGGAGCATCATGGCATGCACGTTACAAAGACTATGCTTATATCTTTGCAGGTGGGCTGCCATATGATCTGACAAAGGGTACAGGAACAGGAAAACACTGGGGCCAAACAAGAGTTTGGTCACGGTACGACAAACGTTGTCGAGTCCTACTAGATGGTGTTCTTCATTTCTGGCCATGGATCTGTGTATTCCCGCCGCAATCGGCGGTCAAGAATGAAGAACACACGCCAGTGGGACATATCCCCGGATCGGGGTTAAAAATTCCACACTCCGGTGGAGCCATCTATCACTCGGGGCCTACCATTGGGGGATGCTGGTATCACCTCCAATGGCAGGCCCACGCAGATGTTTTGTTAAAAAAAAAAAAAAAAAAAAAAACGTTGTTCGAACTGAGAAGTGGGAAAAGGGCGGGAAAAAAAATAATAAGAAAAAATCAGCTGCTGAGATGGATTGTGTCCACCGGAGCTTGTGTACATAGTAGTTCATGCTTTCCTTTTTCTGCGGGTGATATGGTCTCAGAGCCTGTGTATGAGAAGGGCTCGTCTCATGGATAAATTTACTCGCACAACCAAGGCCCAATTTATTAGAAATTTAGTGAAAATTTCAAGACAGTTATAGTTTATTGAACTGACCAGAACAGATGCTACACTTGATCTTACCCACAAGGCGGAGAAAGGTATGAATAGTATGTGCGTAGTGTCCTATTCTTAAGGTTTTCTTCCTGTATCTGACTGCAAGTGTGATCAGATTCCTCCGC